GGGACACGGTGACCGCGGGGCCACGGGGACAATGGCGTGGAGGGGCCTGTCCCTCCCTGTGTCCCCGTGTGCCCGTGTCCCTGTCCCCAGTGTCCCCAATGTCCCCAGTGTCCCCAATGTCCCCAATGTCCCCACTGTCCACAATGTCCCCACTGTCCACAATGTACCAATGTCCCCAGTGTCCCCAGTGTCCCCAGTGTCCCCAGTGTCCATAGTGTCCCCAGTGTCCCCAATTTACCAATGTCTCCAGTGTCCCCAATGTTCCTGTGTCCCTGTCCCCAGTGTCCCCAATGTCCCCAGTGTCCACAATGTCCCCCAGTGTCCCCAGTGTCCCCAATGTCCCCAATGTCCCCATGTCCCAGTGTCCCCAGTGTCCCCAGTGTCCCCCAGTGTCCCCAGTGTCCACAGTGTCCCCAGTGTCCCCAATGTCCCCAATGTCCCCGTTGTCCCCAATGTTCCCGTGTCCCTGTCCCCAGTGTCCCCAATGTCCCCATGTCCCCAGTGTCCCCAATTTACCAATGTCCCCAATGTCCCCAGTGTCCACAGTGTCCCCAATGTCCCCAGTGTCCACAATGTCCCCCAGTGTCCCCAGTGTCCCCAATGTCCCCAGTGTCCCCAGTGTCCACAGTGTCCCCAGTGTCCCCATGTCCCAGTGTCCCCCAGTGTCCCCAGTGTCCCCCAGTGTCCCCAGTGTCCCCAATTTACCAATGTCCCCAGTGTCCCCAATGTTCCCGTGTCCCTGTCCCCAGTGTCCCCAATGTCCCCATGTCCCCATGTCCTCCCCGTTCCCATCCCCGTCCCGTCCCCGTTCCCGTCCCGGTCCCTCCCGGCTCCCGCCCCGTTCCCTCTCCCGGTTCCTCCGCCGATCTCTCCCCGCTCCGTCTCCCGCCCCTTTCCCGACCCCTCCTCGTCCCGCCCGCTCCTTCCCCGGTCCCGTCTCCGGTCCAGCCCCTCCTCGACCCATCCCCGGTCCCTCCTCCGGTTCACTTCCATTCCCGGTCCATCCCTCGGTCCATTCCCGGTCTATTCCCGGTCCAGCTCTCTCGCGCTCCATCCCTCGGTCCATTCCCGTTCCATTCCCGGTCCATCCCTCGGTCCATTCCCGTTCCATTCCCGCTCCATCCCTCGGTCCATTCCCGGTCCCACCCCCATCCCCATCCATTCCTCGGTCTCTCCCCGGTCTACCCCCGGTCCCTCCCCATTCATCCCCGTCCCTCCCGTTCCCTCCCGGTTCCTCCCCGGTCCCTCCCCATCCCTCCCGGTCCCACCCGGTCCCTCCCGGTCCCTCCCCG